AAAACCCAATCGACATGGTACTCATTTTCAGCTAAAATCGCCCCAAAAACCCGAATCTGCGGCCAAAACCGACGGGCGCTCACTCGCAGTCGAGCCGCCCCCCCCACTTACCGCGACTCTGGCCCGACAGCAGCGAACTATTCTCGAAATCGCCGTTGGAGAACCGGCGCACCACCTTCTTGATCCACTTGGAGGCCTCCACTTTGGGGTCGACGATCAGCAGCCCCGTTTGCGACGCGTCCACACTGAAATGGCCGCTGGTCAGCGCAGGCCGCAGCACCAGCCGCCCGTCGCCGTCCGAACAGTCGCTGCCCAAACTCGGCGAGTACACGTTCACTTTGCGGGCGGTCTCCCGGGGACTGATCGGCGATCTCCGAACTGACGGCGAGAACTGGCCGGTGCGCGAGCTCGGACTCTGCATCGGAGAGCGCGGGCTGAGGAAGAACGACTCGGGCGAGCGGAGCGGCGTCTTCAGTTGGGGCCGCACCAGGAAGGTGCGCTCCCTGCGCAGTATGTGGAACGGCACGATGTTCTCCGTGTTGTCCTCGGAGAACTCGTACTTTTTGTCGGCCAGCCGCTTCTTGCGGAACAGGCTGATTTTCTCGTACTTCTCGGTCTCCTCGGTGAACTCGTACGCCTTCTCCGCCACCTTCTTGTCCACCACCTTGCTCTTCTCGGGCGGCAGCTTCTGGCTGGCGTGCGGCACGGAGAAGACGTAGTCGCGCGACGTCCCCTGGAGGCGCTTGAGGCGCGGGTCCAGGATGCTCTGCACCAACGTGTTGTGGTACGTCTTGCCGGTGACGTTCAGCGGCTCGCAGCTGATGTTCAGCTCGTGGAACGGCTTGCCCGCCTCGCTGCCGTCCAGATCGTATTCGCTGAAATCGTCCAGGATGGCGTCCACCAGACTGGAGCAGCTCGCCGACTCCGAGATCTCGCTGAAGGCGTCCAGCGAGCCGGCGAGGAGGTCGGAGGAGGAGGGCTTGGGCGGCTCCTCCTTCACCCAGTGGGTGAGCGAGTTGGCGCAGTGGAACGGCCCCGCCGTGGAGATGTTGAGGATGTGCACGTGGTGCCCGGTGTTGACCACCAGATGGTGCGGGTAGCCGAGCGAGACGTGCGGGTCGAAAGGGGGCGCCAGCTGACTGCTGGCGAACATGAAGTGGATGAGGAAGCCGTGCCGGGGACACCAGCCGCCGTTGGCGCCCTCTTGCGGGCTGAGCGGCGCGTCGGCGCAGTGCACGCAGCTGGCGGGCAGCGTCAGCACCGTGACGTGGAAGAACTCGGATGGCGCCGATCTGCAAGCAATCGAATTTAGTGGGCAAATTGCTGATTGGCAGCCGCAATGACTGGCAACAGTCGAAAAAAGTCCCTGAATGGCAACAGCGCAATTTCGCGATATATATATATATATAAGTAATCTTTATTTCCTATAGAAAAAGGCTATCGACCCAACCCAATCGGCCTTTCTGCCCTTGAATAGTACATATGTGTCTTAGCCCAGCTTATTCTAAAATGAATTCCTATTCCTAACACTGGTGTAACCTAATCAGTTTCATAATTTCGCGAATATCTGGAAAACTGGGCATTTTTTCAAAAAAACCCAATTTTGCGAAAAAATAGCCGCGCGACAGCCCCAACCGCTGGCAAAATTTGAAAGAAATCCCTGAATTATTTGTGTTTAAAACACGCGAAAAACTGCCCGCAACAGTCCAATTTTGCGAATATCTTGAAAATTGGCCATTTTTTCAAGAAAAGGCCCTCTTGCGAAAAAATAGCCGCGCGACAAACTCAATTAATGGCAAAATTCGAAAAAAATCGCTGAATAAATTGTGCTTAGAAAAAGCGAAAACCTGTCTACAACAGCGCAATTTTGCGAATATCTGGAAATCTGGGCATTTTTTCAAAAAAAACTGACTTGCAAAAAAATTGTCGCTCGACAGCCTCAATCAATGGCAAAATGTGATTCGTTCACATCCCTGACTTAATTGTGCTTAAAAAAGCGAAAAACTGCCTACAACAGCGCATTTTTGGCAATATCTGGAAAATTGGGCATTTTTTCGGAAAATTGACTCTTGCGAAATAATAGCCGCGCGACAGCCTCAACCGCTGGCAAAATTTGAAAAAATTTCCTGAAAAATTTGTGCCTAAAACAAGCGAAAAACTGCCTACAGCAGCACAATTTCGGGGATATCTTGAAAATTCAACATTTTTTCGAAAAAACAGACTCTTACTAAAAAATAGCCTCTCGACAGCCTCAATTGCTGACAAAATTTGAACTAAATCCCTGAATAATTTGTGCACGAAAAAAGCGAATAACTGCCTACAACAGCGCAATTTTGCGATTAGCTGGAAAACTGGGCTTTTTTCCAAAAAAAACGACTCTTGCGAAAAAATAGCCGCGCGACAGCCTCAATCAATGGCAAAATGTGAACGAAATACCTGAATTAATTGTGCTTAACAAAGCGAAAAACTCTCTACAACAACGCGACTTCGGGGATATCTTGAAAATTGGGCATTTTTCCGGAAAAAAGGATTTTTGCGAAAAAATAGCCGCGCGACAGCCTCAACCGCTGGCAAAATTTGAAATAAATCCCTGAATAATTTGTGCATTAAAAAAGCAAAAAACTGCCTGCAACAGCGCAATTTTGGAATTATCTTAAAAACTGGGCATTTTTTCGAGAAAGCGCCTTCTTGCGAAAAAATAGCCGCGCGACAGCCTCAATCAATGGCAAAATTTCAAAAAAATGGCTGAATAAATTGTGCTTAGAAAAAGCGAAAAACTGTCTACAACAGCGCAATTTTGCGAATATCTGCAAAACTGGGCATTTTTTCAAAAAAACTGACTTGAAAAAAAATAGTTGATCGACAGCCTCAATCAATAGCAAAATTTTAAAAAAATCCCTGAATAAATTGTGCTTCAGAAACGCGAAAAACTGTCGACAACAGCGCAAATTCGGGAATATCTCGAAAACTGGGCTTTTTTCCAAAAAACCGACTCTTGCGAAAAAATAGCCGCGCGACAGCCTCAATCAATGGCAAAATATGAACGAAATCCCTTAATGAATTGTGCTTCAAAAAGGGAAAAACCCTCTACAACAGCGCAATTTCGGGGATATCTTGAAAATCGGGCATTTTTTCGGAAAAACTGATTCTTACGAAAAAATAGCCGCGCGACAGCCTCAACCGCTGGCAAAATTTGAAATAAATCCCTGAATTATTGGTGTTTAAAACACGCGAAAAACTGCCCGCAACAGTGGAATTTTGCGAATTTCTTGAAAATTGGCCATTTTTTCGCGAAAACGCCCTCTAGCGAAAAAATATCCGCGCGACAGCCTCAATCACTGACAAAATTTGAATAAAATCCTTAAATAATTTGGGCAAGAAAAAAGCGAAAAACTGTCTACAACAGCGCAATTTTGCGAATATCTGGAAAACTGGGCATTTTTTCAAAAAAACTGACTTGAAAAAAAATAGTCGGTCGACAGCCTCAATCAATAGCACAATTTGAAAGAAATCCCTGAATAAATTGTGCTTTACAAACGCGAAAAACTGTCTACAACAGCGCAAATTCGGGAACATCTTGAATATTGGCCATTTTTTCCAAAAAACCGACTCTTGCGAAAAAATAGCCGCGCGACAGCCTCAATTGCTGGCAAAATTTGAAATAAATCCCTGAATAATTTGTGCATGAAAAAAGCGAAAAACTGCCTGCAACAGCGTAATTTTGCGAATATCTGGAAAATTGGGCTTTTTTCCAAAAAACCTACTCTTGCGAAAAAATAGCCGCGCGACAGCCTCAATCAATGGCAAAATATAAACGAAATCCCTTAATGAATTGTGCTTCAAAAAGGGAAAAACCCTCTACAACAGCGCAATTTCGGGGATATCTTGAAAATTGGGCATTTTTTCGGAAAAAAAGATTTTTGCGAAAAAATAGCCGCGCGACAGCCTCAACCGCTGGCAAAATTTGAAAAAATTGCCTGAAAAATTCGTGCCTAAACCAAACGAAAAACTGCCTACAACAGCGCAATTTTGCAAATTTCTGTAAAACTGGTAATTTTTTCAAAAAAACTGACTTGCTAAAAAAGAGTCGCTCGACATCCTCAATCAATGGTGAAATTTGAAAGAAAGACCTGAATAAATTGTGCTTAAAAAAGGCGAAAAACTGTTTACAACAGCGCAATTTCGGCAATATCTGGGAAACTGGGCATTTTTTCTAAAAACCCGCTCTTGTAAAAAAATAGCTCCGCGACAGCCTCAATTTCTTGCCAAATTTGAAATAAATCCCCGAATAATTTGTGCTTAAAAAAAGCGAAAAACTGTCTTCAACAACGCAATTTCGGGAATATCTTGAAAATTGAGCATTTTTTCGAAAAAACAGACTCTTGAGAAAAAACAGCCGCTCGACAGCCTCAATTAATTGCAAAATTTCAAAAAAATCGCTGAATAAATTGTGCTTAGAAAAAGCGAAAAACTGTCTACAACAGTGCAATTTCCGGGATTTCTTGAAAAATGGGCATTTTTTGACAAAAATAAACTCTTGCGAAAAAATAGTCGCTCGACAGCCTCAATCAATGGCAAAATTGGAAAAAAATCCCTGAATAAATTGTGCTTAGAAAAAGCGAAAAACTGCCTACAACAGCGCAATTTCGGGAATATCTTGAAAATTGGGCATTTTTTCGGAAAACAGACTCTTGCGATAAAATAGCCGCGCGACAGCCTCAACCGCTGGCAAAATTTGAAAAAGTTCCCTGAAAAATTTGTGCCTAAARCAAGCGAAAAACTGCCTACAACMGCGCAATTTTGCGAATATCYGGAAAACTGGGCATTTTTTCAAAAAAACTGACTYGCAAAAAAATAGTCGCTMGACATCCYCAATCARTGGCSAAATTTGAAAGAAATYCCTSAATAAATTGTGCTTAAMAAAAGCGAAAAACTGTCTACAAMAGCGCAATTTCGGCAATATCTGGAAAACTGGGTATTTTTTCCAAAAACCCGCTCTTGCAAAAAAATAGCCGCGCGACAGCCCCAATTTCTGAGAAAATTTCAAATAAATCCCTGAATAATTTGTGCTTAAAAAAAGCGAAAAACTGTCTTCAACAACGCAATTTCGGGAATATCTTGAAAATTGAGCATTTTTTCGAAAAAACAGACTCTTGAGAAAAAACAGCCGCTCGACAGCCTCAATTAATTGCAAAATTTCAAAAAAATCGCTGAATAAATTGTGCTTAGAAAAAGCGAAAAACTGTCTACAACAGTGCAATTTCCGGGATTTCTTGAAAAATGGGCATTTTTTGACAAAAATAAACTCTTGCGAAAAAATAGTCGCTCGACAGCCTCAATCAATGGCAAAATTGGAAAAAAATCCCTGAATAAATTGTGCTTAGAAAAAGCGAAAAACTGCCTACAACAGCGCAATTTCGGGGATATCTTGAAAATTGGGCAGTTTTTCAGAAAAAAAGACTCTTGCGAAAAAATAGCCGCGCGACAACCTCAACCGCTGGCAAAATTTGAAAAAATTTCCTGAAAGATTTGTGAATAAAACATCCGAAAAACTGCCTACAACAGCGCAATTTTGCGAATATCTGGAAAACTGGCATTTTTTCAAAAAAACTGACTTGCAAAAAAATAGTCGCTTGACATCCTCAATCAATGGCGAAATTTGAAAGAAATCCCTGAATAAATTGTGCTTAAAAAGAGCGAAAAACTGTCTACAACAGCGCAATTTCGGCAATATCTGGAAAACTGGGTAATTTTTCAAAAAACCCGTTCATGTCAAAAAATAGCCGCGCGACAGCCTCAATTTCTGGCAAAATTTGAAATAAATCCCTGAATAATTTGTGCTTAAAAAAAGCGAAAAACTGTCTTGAACAGCGCAATTTCGGGAATATCTTGAGAATTGACCATTTTTTCGAAAAAACAGACTCTTGCGAAAAAACAGCCGCTCGACAGCCTCAATCAATGGCAAAATTGGAAATAAATCCTTGAATAAATTGTGCTTAGAAAAAGCGAAAAACTGCCTACAACAGCGCAATTTCGCGAATATCATGAAAACTGGGCATTTTTTCAAAACAACCCACTCTTGCAAAAAAATAGCCGCGCGACAGCCTCAATCGCCGGCAAAATTTTAACAAAATCCTTAAATAATTTGGGCAAGAAAAAAGCGAAACACTGCCTACAACAGCGCAATTTTGCGAATATCTGGAAAACTGGGCATTTTTTCAAAAAACCGGACTTGCAAAAAAATTGTCGCTCGCCAGCCTCAATCAATGGCAAAATTTTGAACCCCCAACCAAAAGAACCCCCTGAATAAATTGTGCTTTGAAAACGCGAAAAACCGTCTAAAACAGCGCAAATTCGGCAATATCTTAAAAATTGGCCATTTCTTCCAAAAAACCGACTCTTGCGAAAAAAAGCCGCGCAACAGCCTCAATGGCTGGCACAATTTGAAAAAAAATCCCTAAATAATTTGCGCCTTAAAAAGCGAAAAACCGCCTACAACAGCGCAATTTTGGAATTATCTTGAAAACTGGGCATTTTTTCGAGAAAACGCCCTCTTCACTCACAACGTTTCACAACAATAAAACCAAACTTTATGGATAAAAAAAGCGAAAAAGTCCCCAAAAACCTACTCGAAAAATGCCCAAAAACGCTGCAGACGCGAGTAAAAAACTACTCGCTATCAAAAAAAAAAAAAATACTCACTCGTTTCCATAACAGACGATCTTGGTGGCGTCGTTGGGGAACTGCATGAAAAGGATGCGTTCCAATGGGCAGT